TCACACACACACACACCTCAAAGATATTAAGAACTTTGGTCTAAAGGAAGTACCCTTCCAGCTCAGCTGTGGCTTTTCTCTCATTCACTCTGAAGTCCTGTGTCCAGGAGCAAGGACGTTGGGGCATGACAGTTGCTGCTTCTCTATCCAATGTCCCTTGGGCCTCAATTTGCCTCACTTTCTGGGGAATCAGAATTCTATTTTACATGCCTCCCAGAACTATAATATACTTAGAGTGAATTCCAGATGTCTTAAGAGATGCCAGATGCCTCAAAAAAGGCAGACCAACTTCAAGGAAAATGTGTCCCATTTCCTTGGACATGAACCACAAAGTTAAGCTTTTGGGACAAGCTATAAGGGGAAGAACCTTCAAGGTCTCCTCAGATAGGTTGGTGTGCCCATGATTTCACTCTGGAAAAGATCTTATTTCCATAGGCTATTGGGAGAGAAAAAAACTCACTAGATAATTAAATTTTTTAAAAAGAAAAGAAAGTAATAATTGTCAAGTGCCTTATGTCGGATATTGTGCTAGGTGCTTTCATATAATTATCTAATTCAATCCTTGCAAAAGCAACAGCAGGTAGATATTTTGAACCTAGTTTTTCCAGATGAAAAGTCTAAGACTCAAGAGTTGAAGTAAAAATATTCTAATTTTCATGTCCTTTATATAGCATTCTACAAATATCATAGAACATTTAAGCCTCATAAATGGTGTTGTATGGTTTTTGAAATGCTAATTCTTGGTCTGTCTCTACTCTTCTCATGAACCCAGTAAAAGCCACTCGTAATAATGGACTACTCGCTTGTATTGATTGCCCTACCTCTCTTTCTAGGAAAGCATGATTGCACATGTGACGTGCATACATACAATAACACGGCTTTGCATTGCACAGTGGCCTTGTAAACAAAAATGCTAAGAAAGCTACTTTTGCTCTAGAATAAAAGCCCACTTTCGTACATCTCATCCTTGCTTTCTTAGTAACATATTCCTTACTCTTCTAAATTCTCTGACCACAAGTCCAATCCTATCTACCTGGACAAAAGGTATCTTCTAATTTTTCCTATAGAATATATTTCTTTTCATGATTTCCATTCCTTTTTACTCTGCTGGAATTTGAATTTTTCTATACTGGATTGAACGGATTTTCCAGATATCTTCTACCTGAATGGAGTTCTAAAACTGGCTCTCAATTTCCAGTACTTCATTGGCTTTGAATTCTATGTGGTGTTTGGGTGACTCAATGTAACCTCTCTCAGGCTCCAGTGTTTCGTTTTTGTCATTGTTGTTTGTTTCTCATTTGTCAAATGGGAATGGTACTTCCTACCTATATTTTGTGGTAGCTTGTAAGTATTAATTTTGCAAGAATTAAATGAAATAATTTAAGGAAAGTATTTAACACAGTGGTTGACAGATTGAAACAGCCAAGTAAAAAGAGATAGTGGTGAAATAATTTTAATGGAGTTGTGTTAATAGTGGTAATTATTATTTAACCTGTATGTGAAGTAGCCTTAGTGTTCCAGTAGATCTGGTGAAAGAACATACATGAATTAACATGCCTCTGAAGTCTCATTCATGAGACCTGTTTACACTGACAATATTCTATGAGCAGTAAATGTATCAATCCTTAAATGGTCTTATTAAATATTGGAGTAGTAGTTGTAAAATGTGAAAGTTGTAAAATTTGCTTTGAGAAAATATTTGTTTTATGTTGTGAAATATAATTAGGGTACTTAATATTCTCAACTGCTGACATAAAATATAATTGAACATAAATGATTGTGGCACTAGTTTTGTACAATTCACAGTTCCCTTTTTACATTGTTTTGCTTCTCTACAATACCAAAAAGAAACAATTGTATCATATAATTGATATGTTGAATAGATATCACCCCTTTTTCTTATGTCTATAGGTTCAATACTCTGAACTAACTTTTTAGAGATGAGCAAATCTGAGATCTAACTTTGGGTACCTTCGGAGGAGGGAGGCATCCTGAGAATGATCGATCTTCTTTTCGAAAACTCAAATTGAGGTTGTCTATGTTGAACTTGCAATTGATTGTCCTTAGAGCCATCTTCAAAATCTCTAACAAGCTCTTGTTCACTTTTGACTGTGAATTTGAGTTTTGGAGTGAAGTGCTGATTGGATGAGAGAGAAAGTCTATCAAAAAATAATTTACACAAGGAAACTATGCATCACCTCTGTCCCACCCCGTGACTTGAAAATCCATCAAATAAGGTTTCTTTCTACAACTCTGTAACCTGGTCAGGAGATTGAATATGGATATTTTGTAGACTAACTGGGCTGTTCCATTCTAGTAGAACAATTATCACTTCTCCAGGAGGCACCAGCCAATGATGAGATTCAACCGACACCTCCTTTTTTTGGTGAAGTTTGGCAAAGCGGTTGTTGAAATGGCTGTTGTAATTAGGGTTATCTCTAAGGCGGGAAGCTGCACAGCTCCCCAATGTGGAGATCACAAATTTATATTCCTTACTCTTTTTCAAACTTTGTTCTGTACAACAGCGCATTCTAAGTGGCCATGGTAATTTTCATTCTGTCCCTAGGTATAAAAATTAGATGAAACTATATTTATCATATACATTTATTCATTCCATAAACTCATTATACTTTTGATGAAATACTAATTTTTATTCCCTTGCATTTGTTACTTCAGTAACCAATCATAGCATATAAAGAGAAAAGAATATCAAGCAATCAGAGGGTAACAGGCTGTCATTCATTTCAGCATTTTGCTACCTCTCAAATTCCTAAGCGATATTATGAGTGAATTATACAATTCTTGAAACTGTGCAAATAGCTAGAAATGTTGTCAGAATAATTGCTATAAGTTCAGTAGAAACAGAAAGGGGTTTTTCAAAGATAAACATAGTATGTTCAGAGAAGTTGCCTGTTTCTAATATATCAAATATAATAATTGATTGGCTTACCTCTAAAGGAATGGGATCCTACTCCTACAGTGAAAAGATTGTTAAGGTTAACTTACACAGCCAATGATGTTTGGATAAAGCAAAGAATAATGCACTTGAGGATGCAATCAAGAAGTAATGTGGAAATACCTTAAATATGAATTTTATTGTTTTATCAGGTATTATTTAATATTTTAATTACTGTTTTAAAACCTTATTAAAACATAATTTAGTTTTGTGTACCTCTACTACTATTCTTAATTAAGTACTAACTCTAGTAAATAATAAACTGCCTTTTCTTATATATACTTTTATACTTAAAATGGTCTTTAGGGCAGCAAACCTGTTGTTAAATTATTTGAATCCCACCACTGGCACCAACAAGTTTGTCTACAACTGATCAAAACTGATAATTCATCTTGATAGGTCTTGATTTTCAGGTTAAGAGGAAAATTAGGAATGATTGTATTATCTTTTTTTTGTTATCTGCTTGATTTCATTTTCTTAAGTTGAGACAATTCCTGATTCCACCCACTGCCGTAGCGTTAATTCATAGTCATAGCAACCCCTATAGGGCGGAGCTGGACTGCTCTTTAGGATTCCTAAGATTATAATCTTTACAGGTGCAGAGAACTTCATTTGCCCCAACAGAGCAATTCTGTGGTGGCCTTTCAATTAACAGCCCAATGCTTCTCCCATTGCACTACCAGGTAATGTCTGATAGTTACCCAAATTTCCATACTTTATTCATTGTCATAAAGTCAAGTAAATCCTATCAGACCTCTATAACCAAAGACTCTATATTGGTGGAAGTCCTGATGATTTTCTTCTCTTTATAAAATCAAAAGTGTTCTGGAAACAATTATTCACTTGCACTCTGGTATGCAAATAAGCATAATTATTAAGATCCTTTATATGGCAGATGTACTTTAAGCAAAAAACTTAAAAATCACTGCCATGGACTCGAGGCACCTCATAGTGACCCCAGAGAACTGCTCCCGTGGGTTTCTGGGACTGCAGTTCGTTATGGGAGTAGAAGCCTGTTGTTCTCCCACAGAGCAGCTGTTGGTTTCGAACTGCATATTTTGCAGTTAGCAGCCCAACACGTAACCATTACACCACCAGGACTCCTTGTACTTTAAATAGCAGGAGAAAAACAACAGAACCATGTGTTACAACAATTTAACGACTTATCTTGAAATATTGACTCTTTGAACTTTCAAATGAATGTATTTTTTCCCTCCAGATACTCCTGAAATTCCTCTCTGTAAAGCTTTGTCTGATTTCTGCCGTCTCCACTTAAATGTCAACCTTCTGGAACATCCTTCAACATCTATCTAAAACCAGTTTCTTTTCTGTGGCTTGTTGGTAAACCTTTTACAACCAACTCTCCTAGAAAACACCCCGATTTATAGCATCACCAATTTTATTGATGAAAATAATTTCACTATGATCCATCTTAAGCTACCAATGTTACATTTCAAGCTACCAGGCTCCAGGATAGCACATCTTGATGTACTCTTTCACACAACTTTTCTTTGTTAATAAGTCTCCTTCAATTGTAACTGCTTAATTTTATTGTTTACTGTTTAAAGTCTGACTTTTCTCATAGATTACTCTGATAAATATGGATTATATGTGTTTTTTTTCTTATGTTTTCCAAGGAGGCATGTGCAGTACCTGGAATTGTTCATTTTGGTGACCCTATAAAGAAATCTTTTGAGTAGCTATGATGGTGCAGTGGTTACACATTGGGTTGCTATCGGCAAGGTCAGCAGGTCAAAACCATGAGCCATTTCACAGGAGAAAGACAGGGCTTTGTACTCCCACAAAAAGAGTTACAGTCTTGGAAACTCTCGGGGACATCCATGAAAAAGGCAAAGCTTCCTGCTCTCAATTCCATTGTGACTCCTAGAGTTCCTATAGGACAGGGTAGAACTGCCCTTGTGGGAGTAACTCTTTATGGGAGTAGAAAGCTTCATTTTTCTCCCATGGATTAGCCCTTGGTTTTGAACTGCTGTCTTTTTTGGTTAGCAGCCCAAACACATAACTACTATGCCACAAGGGCCCCTCCTGCCACCAGGAAAAAAGGAAAAGGTCATTAAAAAATACAGGAAAGAAAGGAAAGATCACAGATGATGTCAAAAGAACTCTGAAACTTGCTCTTGATCATAGAGTAGCTAAGGTACATGGAAGAAATGATGATGTAAAAGAGATAAACAGAAAATATCAAGATACAGTTTGAAAAGACAAAGTGAAACATTATAATGAAATGGGCAAAAATCTAAAGTTAGTAAGCTAAAATGGAAGAACATTCTCAGCATATCTTAAAGTGAAAGAAGTAAAGAAAGAAATCAAGTCTCAAGTGGCAATACTTAAAGATTCTATGGACAAAATTTTGAGTGATGCAGGAAGCATCCAAACAAGATGGAAAAAATTCAGAGTGCCATCATACCAAAAGAACTAGTTGACATTCATCCCTTTCAAAGGATCAAGAATCCATGGTACTGAAGGAAGAAGACCAAGCTACATTGAAGGCATTAGCCAAAAACAAGGCTTCAAGAATTAATGGAATGCCAAAAACTCTGGAAGACAACTACTTGGCCAACTGACTGGAACAGATTCCTATTTGCACCCAGGCTGAAGAAAGGTGCCCCAAGAGAGTGCACAAAGTAAAGAACAATGTCATTAATATCACACAAAAGTGAACTTTAATGATGATCATCTAACGATGTTTGTAACAGTACTGACAGGGAAACTCAGGCTGGATTCTGAAGTGGATGTGGAACAAGCAGGGGTATCCTTGCTGATGTCAGCTCGGTCTTCGCTGAAAGCAGAGAACAGCAGAAAGGTAAAGGCAGGGTGAAGAAGAGGCTGTATGAGCAGAAGAAAGAAAAACTACATGGTTTAGAATCAGGAGAGGGGTGTGGCAGGGTTGAATCCTCTCACCATACTCATTTAATCTGTATACTGAGCAAGTAATCAGAGGAGCAGGATTGAATGAAGAAGAATGCAGCATCAGGACTGGAGGAAAGCTCGTCAACAACCGATGATAGGCTGGTGACACACCTTGCTTGCTAAAAGTGAAGAGATTTTGACACACTTTCTCATGAAGATCAAGGATTATAACCTTTAGTGTAAATTACACCTTACTGTAATGCAAGAAAACAAAAATCCTCACAGCTGTACTAATACATAATATCATGATAAATAGAGAAAAGTTTGAAGTTGTCAAGAATTTCATCTCAGTTGGATCCACAATCAATGTCCATGGAAGCAGTAGTCAAGAGATCAGAGACATATTGCTTTGGGTAAATGTGTTGCACACGGTTTACCCACTCTTTAAAGTGCTGGAAATAAGGATGTTACTTTGAGGACTATGGTATGCCTGACACAAATAATGGTATTTTCAATGACCTTGTATGCTTGTGAATACTGACATTTATTCAGGAAGACCAAAGAAGAATGGATGCATGGTGCTGGTGAGAAATATTGAAAGTACCAAGACTGCCAGAAGAACAAATAGATGTGTCTTGGAAGAGGTATAGACAAAATTGCCCCTTAAAAACAAGGATGACAAGACTTCATGCCATGTACTTTGGACATATTATCAAGAGAGGCCAGTTCCTGGAGAAAGACATCATACTTGGCAGAAGGGCAATGACGAGAGGAAGACCCTTGACTACAACAATGAGCTCAAATATAACAAACATGGGGATGGAGCAGGACCAGAAAGAGTTTCACTCTGTTTTACATAGGGTTGCTCTTAGTAGGAAACCACTCGATAAGAACCAGTCGGCACCTAACAGCAATAATATATGTGTCAAAATAGAACTGTTCCCGTTGGGTTTCAATGGCTGGTTTTTAAAATAGAACTCTGGGTCTTTCTCTGAAGGCACCTCTGGGTGGACTTCTGATCTTTTGGCTAATAACTGAGTGGGTTAACTGTTACCAGTATGTGTGGCTTCACCCACCCATAGCCAATAATTTGATTGGCTTCTTGTAATTCTAGAGGATACATTGGAATTGGTCCCTAAGGTTTCTGAGAGTTGAAATTGACTTGATGGCAAAAAATCATATTGTGATTGAGGGGGAGTGTGGAGTGGAGACACAAAGCCCATCTGTAGGCAATGGGCATCCCCTTACAGAAGGGTTGCGGGGAGATGAGCCAGTCAGGGTATAGTATAGCAATGATGAAACATACAATG